CTGGTGAGCCATGAGAGGCATGAAGTTGGATAACCTTTAACTCTGAGAAATATTTTGGTCTAAACAAGAAGATAGTCTTCTCAGTCTACCAGCTATGGCTTGCTAAGTTGTATGGTGTCTGCAAGGCCCATAAGTTTATTTTCTCCCTCACCTGATACACTTAATACACATGTGTAAAGGTTCATGAGGAGCTCTTTTCACTTTAATTACATTGAGGAAGGATGGGCAGAACATATGCGTGATGCACTTCTAGCTAAAACTCCAATATGACTGCTATAATTTTTACCAACATGACAGTTTTTTAACATAGAAGTATGAATATCCAGATTCTGCTATTGTAAGAAAGGCAGAATAAGTACCTTAATAAGCTTTCCATCTAGCATGTTGTTTCAAAGAGATCACTGAAGCCTTACTATGAAATGTGCTTTCAGTAAAGTTCAGAAAGGTTCCCATCATTACAGAAGGTATGCCTATGTTGTTATTAACATAGAGATTTTCCAGGCTGTCTAGGCTGGCAAAAACGCATTTTCCAGACCATAGCAACATTATATGGTAGTTCCAAGTGTATCTTGCTTGTCAAGTGACAACCTTTTAAGCTTGTGGGACATAGCATATATGTCAGATTTTCCAGTTTGTTCTTGGGAAGCTGAAGTGAAATTAGACCAACTGGACTAAATTATCCTTTCATATGGAAATTGTGTCACTGTTTATATCACTGGGACATATACAAAGGAGCTTACTTAATTCTTGTTCTGCTTTCCATAAAATAATGCTCAAGGTTGAGGAGCTCCTAGGCTGTGCTTCAGAATCTAAGGAAATTAATCTTCTCCTTACCTTCCCTCTGCTTGTACCCCTTTAAAAGTCATAGTGGCTTTGTCATTGTCACCTTCTTCCAGTGGATTGCAAACTGCAGTGTTTATTGTCAGCACTTCAGTGATGTGTTGTACCAACAGCTGAGAAGGAGGTGGATTGTTTCTGCTGAAAGCCATATATCGGTGTATATAGAATATTCAGCTGTTGTCGGGTGCCTTACTATTTTATGGGGCTTCAAATATCTCACCTGTTTTACTCGGTGGAATCTGAGTCAGGAGCAGTCCCTTGAGCTCTCAAACCTTCAGAAATTTTGGTCAGGTAAGAAAGGATCACTGCTGAAGTTTGTCACAGCATGCTACCATGATTCTGCTGTAGAGGATTAAAATTTTTGAAATCTCTTACTTCTTGGAAAAAAACCATAGGCTTTAAGTCATATGATTTATGTGATGTACAGAGAGGAGAATGTGCTAAAGCACGTGACGCTGAGGAATTTGAAGCAACTTTCAGCATCTGATAAATAATTCAAGTTATTTGGATTAATATATTTTTGTTTTGGAAAGTGATCATCTTATTAATTCTACCTCATGTACTGTGTTTAAACATGGAATAAGTCTCTTTTAAACCTAGAGATCCCTGTAATTGACCATTCTGAACATTAGAAGTCAACTGACCATGCAGTAAAGGTTTTGGGGGATTAGCTCATCTCATTGTATGTAGCAGAAATAAGAATAGAAATATGCAGTAGAACAGGATCTAATGCCTGAAGTAGATGTTTTTGAGAATATCTTCAGGAAGGAATACACTTAAGAGTTTTATAAAGTTATAGCCAAACTTAGCATTTAAAACAGCTGACAGAAAAAGAAAATTAATTACTGTTAATTTACAGATTGCTGTGCTGGTTTTTATTTTAAATTGTGGCTGAGTTATTAAAAACAGTGTTCTATTCCTATGCAAAATAATTACTTCATCATTAAATTGTATCTAGTGTGAGATAATTCTTTATGCAATGTCATTTTTGACATGTTTTTTTTCCAGTTTCATTTTTTAAACTGGAATCTGAGTTCAGAGTGCATCTGCTCCTATAGAGTTCTAATCAAATGCAGTGCATCCATGGAAGCACATATGTGCTTGTATGAACAAGCAAATACAGCTGTAAACAGTGGTACTGTGAGCAAGAGGGTAAGTCTTCAGTAACAGCAGTGCTCAACACTTCCCACTGCCCACAGGAAGGAGCTGCATTTTTCTGAATTTAAGGTTTTACATCCCTATGCACTCCTAGAAAAAGAGTGCAAATAATTTTAACTTCAGCAGGTATCTTTCTTGTCCATATCAGCTTCTACATAATCCTTACATTATTTGAACTTCTGTTATTTAATTATTTTTCATTTCGGTGTAATTTTTGTTAATCTTGAATATCAAGAGTCCTTAAATAATTGGAATAGATGTGCAATCGCCAGGTTTTGAAGTAATGCTGGACATCATGTCACACTAGTGCAGGCTACTTGCTTTTCTAGATTAACAGAAGACTGCTGCTGTGAACTGCTTACCTGTCCCTCTTCAGAGGGCCCACAGACTCTGAAGCAGGCAGGAGAATGTGTGACACTCGCAGAGGTCTAGAGAAGTGAGGAGGTGTTATCATACTAAACTTCATGACAGGTGCTAGCCCCAGATTAGAAAACTGAATTCATACTCAGTTGGACTGTGCTTGTAATCTAGCAGCCAGAGAAAATTAACAAGTATCTGTTTGGTTAATTTTGACTGGTTTGGGAAATTATGATCATACCATTTGCTATACCCCCAAATGGCTGTCAACTCCAACTACCACAGAGGTAACCTCTTAATATGACCCAGAAACACCTGAAAAAGCTCCACAGAAGAAAGAAGCATCCCAAGCTGTTGCCCAGATTTTTGCTGAGGAATTAAGCCACAGTAAACATTTCCCAATTTTCATTTTGTCTTTATGGTAAAGAAATTTCCAATATTTTGCTGGTTTAAGATTATAAAAGTCTGAAATACACAAAATTCTATTTTTTAGAGTTCAAATCTTATGGTCAGGTCAGAACATAAATCTTAAATGTTTAAATCTATTTAAATGTATTGTAAACCATTCTTTTACAGTGTGCATAAATGTATTCTTATTTGGATTTCGTAGTACTGGAGTGATCTGCACTGCATCTTCTGGGAACTGGTCTCACAAGGCATTTATATAAAATAAAAGGCAAGGATTGGGCTGAGCCATAAAGTGTGATCAGTTGGCTTTGGAGGTGTAGTTGCCATGGCAGTCTTTTCCAATTATCTAGCTTTCTGACTGGAGCAATTTATAAGGCTAAAAAATCTGCTAGACTAAAGATACTTTAATTTGTATAAGGTTTTTGCTCTTATCATTGTATATAATCAGAAGGGATGGTATGGAGTGAGGAAGATATAACAAGTACATGAATGGAAAATAAAATGAAGCTAAAAATCATAGTGATTTCAAGCTAATTATTTTAATACTCAGTTAATGTAATGAGTTTTGTAAAGTCTAAAACTAAAATGTCTAAGTGTTTATATCTGTAGGGGACTGTTTTAAGACAATTACCTCTGCTAGAGAGGAAACCCGATGTTTTTACTCAAGAAATGTTTCACTTTTTATTGGGACTGGTACCTTTAATCTACTCCCACTCTAGGTATGTAAGTTGCTTGTTTGCTCACAAGAGTGATGATCAAACTATTTTGTTTTCTTGGACAAGTCAGTCTTTCTAGATGCGTTCTGGGCCACAGTTATGTTGTTAACGCAAACTTTTTTTGGCCTCTGAAAACAAGCAGCTGCATAGAATTTAGGGTTCTTCAAGAAGTCACACAGGACTAGATATAGTAGGGTAAGAGGTAATTTGGTAGATAGTAACTCTACAGAGGAAAAACTTTTTCAGTGTCTATCTTCAATGTTCTATAAATCAGCGTTGTGCTAAAACACACAACGTTTTTATTTATCTAAAAAAGACATGCCAAATAGTATTCACTCAGTACTCAGTGCAAAATTAGAGTAAGTCACTACTATATCAATAGCAAATAGACTGTGTAAAGCTATATCAAAAGATGTCATGATTTAAATATGGTGTAACATCATGTAGGCACTTAGTTTGTGTCGAGTCTTAGGCAGCACAAGTCTAGCAGACCCTGCTTAAACTCCAGCTGCCTCTAATTGCTGCACGTTTTCTGAAAAGAGGTAGCCTGTAAGACACACAAGTGCCAATTTATAAAGGTCAAAGCCAACACGTTCACATTCAGTGAGAAAACTGAGTTGTACTCAGCAATACATGCCCGACAAAGTCCTCTTAACCAGGCAGCTGCGTTCAAGTCTAGCAGCAAGTCTCGTAGGTGGCTTTGCTTAGTGTAGAGTGTGCTCTATTAGTTTCACTTCTGAGGTAGCCAAAGCATGGACTGCTTGGGTCAAATCTTCATTCATATTTAACAGCATTAAGACTGAAGAAAGCTCTCTTGCCAGCTGCATTCAGAAGAGCACTGCATTCTGCAGACACTTAGTTTTACTGGCTAATTTAACGTCCTACAATTCTGAATCACTTGGAGCAATTTTTGTTGGACTTCCTTCTTTCTTTTGAACTGCTTTATTTAAATATAACTAACACAGCAGATCTTTGACTCATAATAAAACACAATGCATGACATTCTTTTTTGCTCATGCATATTGTTATTAGTTGAGCATTTTTTTCATAGTTAAGTATGTGAGCATCAAAGTCTATTTATTTGTTTACCTGTCCACTTTTTGACCCTTTTTTGTAATATTTATCCATTGTATATAGTAACCAGAAACTCGGTGCCTCCATTGTAAGATGATAATCACTGATACCAACAGATACCACTGATAAATAGCTCAGATACAGTTGTTGGGTAATAAGAACCCCTTATTCACCAGTTTGTATTCTTACTGCTCAAAATCATTAATTAATGAAATAAACATACTCATATACATCAAACACTCTTGTCTCCATTCTGAAATCAATACTGTATGAGGAGGGTGTTATCTATTAGCTGAATTTAATTTAAAAAAACCAAACTAACAGTCTTAATAGTTGTTTGTAATTTGTGTATTTTATTCACTTCTTGGGTTTGTTTTCTATATTAAAAGAAAATGCTATATAAATTAATCTGCTCTTTTTCTGTCTTGTGCCTTTATCCTTTCCAAGGTTATGCCTTTCTGCTGTTCCAGGAAGAAAGCTCGGTACAAGCTCTGATAGATGCATGTCTGGAAGAAGATGGGAAACTTTACCTGTGTGTGTCAAGTCCCACAATCAAGGATAAACCAGTAAGTAGCTTATGCCATGACACTTATGTTGGTTGCTAACCCATGTGCTGTGACTCTTTTCAGTTAATAAATAAATATAGTTGATTGACTTGTCCATTTCCTGTTGCTGTCCTTGCTGTTATGTTGAATTTACTTTCTGTGTCAGCGTAACATGGTTTTAACATTTGCTTCTTTCTGATAAATGCCACGTTCCATTGGTGTTTATACTTGGTACTTCTGGTATCTCGCAGGAGTATGCATCCTTTTATAATGTGAGCTGTAAAACAATTGGATTATGATTTTTCCCTCTATATTATTTGAAAGAAAAGAAAGCCTTATGCAGAAGAAATGAAGAAACTTAACTCCCCCTTCCTCCTCCCAAAAATCCAAATAGCTTCAAATATATTCTGTACTACTTAGGTTTCTTAATTATTATTTTTTCTGCATGCAATAGCTAATCAATTTATAATTTAGGTCTCATTTACCTTATAGAAACTGCAGGGTAAAAACAAATAATGCAGATGGCTATAGCAGAATAGAAGACACACAGTAACCTGTTTTTATTGCTCACATCTCTCACATTCTTTAATGCTAGTCTCTTTTGGGGCTATGGATACATACAGATTAGATGAAAACTATAGGCAAATATTATTAGATAAAAAATGTGCTGCCTTTTAAAAACACTTATTAAAAACCTTGTGCAGATAAATGAACAAGCCAGTATTACAGCACAGTGACTGTGCTTAACATGATTCCTAGCATCAATAAATGGATGGATGAACAGCTTTATCCAAATAACTTCAGAGCAGCTTTTTTTCTGTGTAATCTAAAGATTCCTTATCAACTGTGTTGCTTGCTGCTTAACAAAAATGAGCATTCACACATTATAAAAACTCCTTTTGTTTCCAAGCACAGAAATCAATTTTATCTCCACTCCTATCAGTGCTTTAAAATTTGTGGGTCACTGTATGTGATTTCAGGAAAGTTGCCCAAACTGCAACTGTAATTGCGAGTACACGGTAAAATGTTCTGCAAGTCTTTTCACAGATTTCTTATAATGGCGATTAGGGGCAGGGAATTAATGAGGCAGGAGTTTGCTATGATGACATTTAACTCAAGCCTGGCCTCTAGTGGTAATAAATGAATCGTCCACCTTCTTTCTAACAGATAAGCTGTGCTCTCAAATTGTTTTGGTGCTTATACCATCAATTTACTGCTTTTTCTAAGTTTAAATTTTATTTTTAATTATAGAAAGATTTGGCAGTTGTTTCTTAATTTTAATTAAGTTGTCAGGTTCCTCTGCTAAAAACAGTCCTTAATACAGGTGCAAATTCGACCTTGGAACCTAAGTGACAGTGACTTTGTGATGGATGGGTCTCAGCCTTTGGATCCAAGAAAAACTATCTTTGTTGGAGGAGTTCCACGGCCCCTCCGAGCTGGTAAGTAGAGGGAAAATGTAGGACGTGTAGTAGGGGGTTCCAGATTAAGCAGAAAAGATGTATAATATATGTAAAAGAGCAGAAAATATACCTGTTTTTTCCAAAGAATGCAACTCACTTTCTAAGTCAGTGGGTGTCTTTCTGTCTACAAAATACAAACTGTGAACACTTTTTATCTTTTAAATAGGTTACTAATTAGGATTTTCAGTAAAAACAGTCTTCACCAAGTTTGCATAATACCCTAGAACTTAGATGATTTTTTGTAATGTGTACCATGTTAATCCTAAACCTGATATGCTTGCTGAGATGCAGACAAGTTCCCCTTCCCTTTGACTGGATGACAATTTTTTCCCATCCCCTTTCCAAACCAATTCCAGCTGCAGCTCTATGATTTCTCTTTCCCCTTTTCTCAACCCTAACCCTAATTTTCCCCTGGAGCTATAGACAAAGCCTCACAGCCATTGTCTAGAAGAAAAAATTCTCGCAGCCCAGGTCTCTTAGTGTTCCCTCTCTGTGAAGTGAAATGAAGTGGAGACCACTTTCCAGATTCACTCCTAATGTAGCTTTTTCTCGATCTTTTTTCTTCACCCTTAACTCACTTTCTTCAATTTTATTTGCAGATCCATAAATAAAACTCCTTAGCCTGTGGCTAATTTCTTTCCTTTGAAAGATATATCCCAGCCCAGATCTCCTGGCTGCCCCCACTTGTTTTGAAGGCCCCTTTTCAGCACTGCTCCTAACTGTAGCTTGACACTCCTTTCTTCCTAACCCTTATATTTTTGGTGAGACAATGACAAGGTCACAAAGCCATTAGCAGTTGAAACATTTCTCCTAGCTAAATCTTCTGGCAGCCCTCACTTCTGTCTAGTATTCCCTCTTCATCCTCACTCCCAAGTCAGCTGCATGGTTTCTCCTCTTCATCCTCTCAGCTCTAATCCTAATCTTCCAGGGCTGTAGTAGACAAAGCTCCTCAGTCATTGTCTGGAAGACTTCTGGATCAGGTTTCCTGGTAGCCCTCGCTTTCCTTTGGCAGCCACTTTCCAGCCCACTCGAACTTCAGCTCCTCGCTTGATCCTTCTCCTAATCCTAATTCTTTCGGGAAGCTGTACACAAAGTCCCCCAGCCTTTGCTGACAGTAAGATTTCTCCCAGCCCAGGTTTCTTGGCAGCTTTCACTTTCTCACCATCTTAAAATAAGACTTAATTGCTAGGTGGTAATTATGTAAATAGTAACAATTAAACATTACCTCACTTCTAATTATAACCTTTATAAAACTGTGTGTCATTTGGCCTACCATAGATTACATTTGAAATGCATTACACTTGAAAACTGATGCCTTCAAATAGTTAACTTCTCCAAAGCAGACAAATAGTTTCCAGTTTTCCTTGTTTGCAACTCTAAAGATCCGATACATATTTTTTTCCTAAGATGTCTGAACACTACATGGTTTCCTTGCCCTGGAATCCTATATATTCTTTGTCTACTGGCAAGAGTAACTTCTGTAATGACTATTGTGAATGTTTTAAAGCGTTCCTGATGTTTGTTCCGTACTGTCACTTCCTGAGATCATTACGCATATGGTGATTCCAAATCATTAGAAAGCAGAAGAATCTACTAGTCACTACATTATGCTGATAGTTTTCCATTACTGTTTAGAGCAAGAGTATTACCTGATTTGGTAGAATGAGTCAGACATTTGTTTGCTCCTTGCAAATGGACAAATTAACATATGGTCTTCCCTTAATGTGATGCATACATTTATACAAACACACATACTCATTTTAAAATTGTCTCTATTCTGTGTATAATTAACTAGTGAGAATTTAGTGAGAACTACACAGAGTTAAATATTTAGTATATCTTTTTCATTTTATCATGGATAGCTACGCTTTAACTTGCTACTGAAAGTGTTTTTGCACATTAGCATAGAAAAATGGCTGACTTGGCAGGGCTTTGTAAAGGTCTGTTCTTCACCCACCTGACAAATTTGTTTGCCTATCAGCTTTTACAGAGAACTTGGCTCAGTGACCATCTGTCTTTGCACAGTTTACGTGCCTCTCCTCCACTTCCTTCAGCCTCTTTTCCACTTCCT